AAGGGAAAAAACAAAGTAAATTTTAATTAAATTTTTTCATCTTTAAATACAGTCACTCACAAAAGTGTTCGGACACTTACAAGTTTCAGTAAAATATTGCTTTATTTATTAATAAAAATTAATATTTTAGAATGGAAATTTTTTATAATATCTATAAATTGCTCTTAATAACCACATTAATTATTTTATGAACATATTAAAACTTTTTTTTGGAAAATCAATAATAATAAAGTAACAGAAAAGTTTCCTCACAAAAGGCTTCGTATGCTTTAAAGAAATATGCACATATTAGTAAATATTGTAGTATTTCTGTCAGCTAGTATTTTGTGGTATATCCTGCAGTATTTACGACAGGACATAGAGTTAAACATTTGTTTTTGCTAATATCTGCATCAATATTCTTCCATTTCTTCAATCATTACTGTTTTTAGTTCCATTTTTGTTTTATTGTTGTGTCTTCATACTCTTAATTCTCTCCAAATATATTCTGTTGGGTTTAAATCTGGTTACTGAGGTGGTGTTTTCAGAACTTGCGGACATTTATAGACACCCAAAAGGCGAACGTTGAGAGCCGTGTGCTTAGGATCAATACACTAATAAAAAATAAAGTTGATTCCAGTATCCAAATTTTGGGCGGGTAATTTAAAATTATCTTTTAAAATATTTAAATAAAGAGCATGGTTCATTGTGCCATTGATAAATACTAAATTATTTAAAACTGATGTTGACATGCGCACTCATACTAGAACACCTCCATTGGCATGTTTCACTATTCCAACCAAGATCTTGGGATTAAACTCCTCCTTTTTTTTTTTTTTTTCCTTCTCCATACAATTATGTATGTGCCTATAGGAACCAAAAATGTTAAATTTGCTTTCAGCTGCAAATAAAACATGATTCCAATACGCTTAAAGCTTATTTACCATCAATTTTGAGGAGAAATGCCCAAGCTTTCTATTTTTTCACTTCCAAAAAGTTTTCTTCGCGCAGAGTGCCCATTTAATCCAACTGATCTGAGCACTCTTCGAACAATTTTAAGTGAAACTGAAGTAGAAAAATTTTCAGTAAATTCTGTAGAAATCTTTACAACTCTCAAACGTGGATTTTTCACAGATTTTTCTAACAATTACTCTTTACCACGCAGAGTCACGTCGAATCCTCTTTGCCGAACAACCTCTTCTTACTTTATTTTGGATCTGATTTTCTTCTTTATAGCATTTTATCACATACTGCACGGTAGAATAGGATAAATTTACTAATTTAGTGATATCCTGAATCGCATTTCCATCCTTGTGATAAAAATATGATCAATTTTCGAATGCTGTTCTTTGCTTCCTTAAGACTATGAAACATTTTTAAATATTAAATGAAATATAACAAAGCAAATGAGCAAGAAATTAAGCTAAACAATTTTTAAATGTCACCAAAATGCAAAAATTTAAAAAAAGTGGTAGAGGAAAATTTTATTTATGAAATTTTACGAAAATGTTTCGGTGTACGATCACTTTTGTGACGTGTTTTATCTATGCCTCCTTATATTTTCAATTTTAGAAAAAAAAAAAAAAAAAGTCAGTATTAAGAATTAAAAAGTTTGGTTTTATTCAAAATCACATGGAGATAATATGAAAAGATATTGGGCTTTATATTCAAATTCAAATCCGGATTACAGTGCTTTTTCTCCAAATTCTTAAAGTGTCCGAACACTTTTGTGAGACCCTGTAAATAGAACTCTATTCAAAGAATTGAAAACGTAAGTGAAATAATGAAATACTTTAGGGCAAAATTTTACCTTTAAACAAAGAGAACATTATCCAAAGAATTGAAAACCTAAGTAAAATTACAAAATCTTAAGTGAAAATAAAACTCGCAAAAAATAATTAAAAACTTCAAGCACTTTCAATTAGAACACAACCATAAATACGTAGTACAAGATCATTACTATATTGACATTTAGGTTTGCCAATTTGACTTCATTAGCAAAACTAAAATATAGTGCCGAGAAAGTAAGTCCTAAAAGGTGCAAAATTGGTACAAAAGATAGGATTCTGAAACCAACAGGAAAAACTTTTTAAAACTTCTATTGAAACTTTAATTAAAAATAAATAGTTAGATAAAGAAAAAAATACTAATTAAAATTAGATTTGTAATCAGAATTCAGTAAGAAATTGACTGTACAGTCAAGTTTTAAAATCAATCTTAAAATTGAGATATATTCTTAAAAGAGCGAGTTTTATTTTCTCACTTGAGAAAATTGTCTTTCAACACTTTCACCTTTAATCATATTAACTCAATGCAAACTTTCTAAAAATAATTAACACAACGTAATCTTTGTAAAAACAATTAAACAAAGAAGAAAAGGTGAATAAAAATATATTTACATAAGACTAAAAGGAAATATTAAAAATGTATGAAAGAGAAATTTAGATAATACACATTAATATCCAGAAGATGAATTAATTAACTTACATATTTGCTAGCTGTTAAAAAGACATTAAGTGGTAAAGTTGGTAAAGGGAGAGACCATGGTCTCATAGTCAAACAGAAAAAGCTAATCTCAGAGAAGAGTAAAATGATGTCCCTGTGAGTGAAACTAGGATTAAGTATAATCATACAGTAAATAAGTAAAATGAATAAGACTTAACAAAGCAGATGTAAAACAACTAGTGCAAGCTGCAATTTGAAATACAGTACATAGAAGACATAAAAATATAAAATAAAGGTAGGAAGCAAAACAGAACACTGGAATGAACAAGAAGAGACTTAGGTCGTGAAACTGTGGTCCTTCGTCGTATATGTTACAACTCGAATGCGAAATGAGCAAAAATTTCGCTTCTGCCACTGGCAACTTTTGATTTAAAATTAATCTTGAACCATATAAATAGTGCAATATAGTAGGTTACACAAATAAGTAGTCACAGAGATTTGTTTTGAACCGTGATTCAAGTTTGAATTGAAGTATGAAATCAAAAGCTCTCCGTCGTCGACATGTTGAATTCGTGGATTTGAACACCATGACAAGCGACCAGATGAATCCTAACATTTCCAGGGGTTGCACTGTATCCAAGCGAGTCACTGAAATTACCTTTGGCATAGTTCAGTCCTTGTCTGAAGAATTTATGATTACATTTATGTAAGTAGTCTGAAATAAAATACAGTCTATCTTCAGATTGTCATGAGCTTGGTCGACCTTGTCCTGGTCTTCTCAATATAGATCCAGTGTCCTGAAACTGTTTTCACAAATTGCAGAACGTTACATTGAGCTCTGTAACCAACTGCGCTTGTAATTGGCCTTCATCTAGTCTACTGACGGTTCTCTGTTTCATTCTGTCATCCATACATTCATGGCTTCTTATTTTACCTGATACTTTATCAAATTCACTCAACTCTTCAAGAAACATGGAGAATGTCACGAAGGAGTATGAAGTCACTAATTCCTGAAACCTCTCATGCACTTTATATCCCCTCCAAAGACACGCACACATACATCATTTTATAAAAGTAACAAAAGGTATGAAATTTATTTTATTTATGCATATTTTGTCTTTTAATGAAAACAAAATGCATTAATTATCAGAAATACATGAAAAATGTTTCCAACATTTTTTAATGATTAAATAATTTCTGGCCCAATTATGATATTTAAAAAAAAAGAAAAAAAGAAAAAGAAAAAAATCTGAAAGGTCTGAAATCTGAAAGTTTCAAATTTTAAAACAAACACCCAAAAGGGTTTATTAAGTTTTATTATGTTCTCGCTGGGCTCACAGTTTGCTCTTGTACTCAGTCCTGATAAACCTGTTTTTTTTTTTTTTTTTTAAAGCTTCATTATTACGCACCATTTTCTTCACACTTATGCTATATAACATTTAATGTTCAGCAGGGGAAAAAAAAAAAAAAAAAAAAAAAAAAAAAAAAAAACACCACAGCTGCATAGCAGCATATGTTTAGAACTTCCAATGCGGCGTAAAAGTAATGGCATATAGTTTCCCATTTTCTCCAGTCTTTTCTCAGTTCATCAAATCAATATTCAGTTTTCCTTGTAACGTGGGTAACAATTTTTTTTTTGTCTTTTGATTAACATTTTATGTGCTAACTTTACTCATTAAATACCATATTCTTTGCACTCACATCACATAAAATTCAGTTCAACATTAAAGGTTGCCATGTTTTTACATTCCCTATATTATTTCTTTAAAAACTACCTACTCACGTCGCTAACCACCTAAAATAATTATCATAAAAAAAGAAAATTGTATAATGCTTTTAGCGAGTCCAGCTATTGTAATTTCTTAAAAATATTGAATATTTCTAATTAGACATCTCATTATTTTAATACATGTTTATTTAAGTTAATAACATTAAAAAGCAGAAAAAGTTTTAAGAACTGTATTTAGTGCATTAAAATCACTTACTCAGTATATACCACTCATCCTCATTATTCAACAACCTTCCAGATTAAATTTCAAAGTGTCTTACTTAGGCTTTACTGAATGGAAACACACTGCTTTCATAAAGGTGAATTTGTTAAGATAAATAAATAATAATAATTAAACAGTATTGCCCCTGTTGCATTATGTTTGTTGATTAAAAAACTATTGAAGTTTTACAAAATTTGAAAAATATAATAAAACAAATTCAAAATTTGGACTTCCAGGTGCACATGTTCGGGCGGAGGACTATGTTATCCAAAATCTGATGGCTTTAAATACTGTTGTTTTTATCAGAATGCAAGGAACATGCATACGTACAAGCAGATTCTTCCTTATTTAATTTCTTTAAAAATAACAGCGGTAATATTTGATGGCAACAATTTGAAAAATGATAAATCATTTATAATTAACTAACACAAAATCCTATTTTGAGACTAATAGCCCCTTTTGGGCCAAAAACTAAAGTTAAGCCACAATTTATTTAATACACACAATTCAGAATAAAAATAGAACCTTAAAAATTTTTTAATGAATAGTGTTATCATGTAAGAAAGTGTGAAATAAAATTTACACTTTTAAATAACACTCTATTTAATAAATAGCCTTATAAACATTACATTTAGAATGAGAAGTTTCAAGCTTCCTTATAGCCTGAGCAGTGAAAGGAGACCCTCAGAATTGGCACAGGCATATCTTCAAATCAAGCCCAATATATTATTTTACATGTTGTTAATTATACATCAGCTATTATTTCCATTAATGTATATGTAGCAAGAATGGATAATTGAGAGCAATGGAAATACAAGTTTAAAATTCAAGTTTCAGCCAAATTTATAACAATATACTTTATTATATAATACAATTAGAAAACTAACCATTTCTTCTGAATTTTTACAAAGAGGGAAACTAAAAAAGTAGGCTTCACGTAAAGTTTGTTAAATGTAATGACTGAAATTGGGCTTGGTAAAAAAGCTATGGTCAAATGCCTTCAACAAGACTTCAACTCATACATCTATTGCTCAGAGACATTAAAAACTGAAGTCATGAGAGAACATGCAACATGATTTAAACAATTAAAAAATAGCCTATAATTTCCAAAAATCAGAGGTGCTGCTGTAGGAAACTTAGTAGTGTTGTCTCATAATGTTCACTAGCATCTAAGTGCCGTAAGCTATGCCTTTCTGTTGGGTAAATCTGAAAAGCAAGCAGATAATTATATCACATGATGGAAAAAAATTTCAAATATTATATAAAATGATCTCAATTAATGATAATTAATTAATAACTATACTCTTATAAGAAGAATCACTCTTCAATTGCTAGATTTTTTATTAATATTATGATCTAAAATGTTAAGGCAATTCATATATCGATAACGTGATTACAAATCTGAGATAATTTCCATAATAGCAAAACTGAAAATGTTTATTACTTTTTCATTTCATTCTTTATTACATGCTTTTGGCATTATGAACTGTAGTCTGTGTATTTCTCATTCAAAATAACAAATCACACAAGTAGTTAATGGAAATGTTGCATTGCTTGAATAAAACTGCAGTATGTTTTAAACAATTCACAAGAATTCAATGACTTGCAAACAGTTAGAATTGAAAAGAATTAATTAAAATCTAGTTAAAAATTTTAATTTTTATAATCACCATACATAAACTGCATGTAAGAAAGACTATGTGCATTAAATTTACAAAAATTCATAAAGCATAATAAAAATTTCTCATCTGGGAAAGAAAGAATATAAATAATCAAAAATATGACTAGATAGAACAATAAAGGAGAAAACAAAATGATAAAGTAAAACCATTTAATATAAATATTCAAATTAATGCTAAAACAATCTTTTAAATGAAAAGGAATTTCTCATCCGCGAAAGAATGGATATAACTAATCAAAAATATAAAACTGAATACAGCAATAAAGAACAACAAAATGATAAAGTAGAAATGTTTAAAACTAATATCCGAACTAATGATCTTTAAAACGAAAAGGAATTTAAAAACATCTTTACATAGCACTGATTCAAGAAATCATTTTAGTAATTCTGATATATATATATGATGAGGAATATGCATAAAATGACATAAAAGTCTAGGTTCAAATGAAAACTGCAGTTGATATTTACAATGAGAAATTGAATTTTGAAAACACATTACATTATTGGATCTTTTTCATTTTATGTTTTTAGCTTTATTTCAGAAAAGAAAAAGTTGAAAAATCGTGGCAAACATTCTAGAATTTTAGCTTATATATTTCTAAAATAGCTTGTATAACTATATATAGCATCATCTGTACAACCATATTAAATACTGGAACATATGCTCAAAATAAAATAAAGAATAGGTAAATACAAATGCTGTCTTTTTACCTTTGGGCATACATGTGTAATATTTTATATCAGAAATAATAACTTAAAAGAAAAGTAAAAAATTAAATTAAATGCTTGCAGAAAAAATACACTAAAGAATATTTTAATTTCTATAACAAAAGATGTTTCATCAAATACTGAATAAAAGCCCATATTTGTGAACTGGTATGTTTATAACAGATGCCTCATTAATACAATGTTATGTTTTATACTCAATGTATTTAATCTAATTGCTTATGTATTCAAAATAACATGAAGCTTTGGACATTTACGTCTGCTATACAAAAGAACAACAAGAACAAAACTTACTTGTAACTGATAAGGTTTTCCTGCTTTTATCAAAGCATTTATCAACTGACTTGTATGTGCAAAATGGACATTTTCATCCCTTAAACCATGTATTATCAGTAACCTGTTCTCTCTAAAATAAAAGTTAAAAAAAAAAAAAAAAATTACATAAAGCACAGAAAGTGCAATAAAGTGTGCATACAAAGTGCAATAAAAATTATAATGTCACAAATGAGATCATGAAAGTTGAGAATTCATTTTAAGAACATGTACTTATAGTATTTCCTTAAAACCATAGTGTAAGAAGTTAGTCACCCAAAAGTTTATTGCGGTTTCATTTTTTAATAATATGAAACATCAAATGCTGATATAAATTAGATTAATACATTTAGAAACATCTAAAGACTTGATGAAAAACATGTTTTTCACAATTATAAAAGCATTTTTAATCATTCACCCCCAAAAAAGGAGAATTAATTTTTTTGGTTGTTGTTGAAATAATTAATTAATTATACATTATTTTGACACTGGAAATATGATTGCTCAAGTAATCTCCATTAGCTGCAAGAATTATCGATAATGATATGAAGTTCACTACATCATACTGAAAAGAAGAAATCAATGAAACTAATAAAATGGCAATCACTAAGTGTTCATCATACAGTATGAATAAAAGCTCATGGAAAAGCATGAAAATGTACTAACTCATCAGGAAACTGGTGCACATAAGATAAAACTGATCCTGTTGTGTAGCCAGTAGCATTTTTTGCTGGTGTATCCATATACCTTTCTGTATAACCAGTGTCATAAAGCATCCATGTTGTTACAGGGGCACCAGCTATTGCAACCTGAAATTTTTTTTTTTTTTTTTAACGATAAGTTAAAATCTAAAAAAATTATATGGATCTTTGATTACATAAATTATCTTGAAATAATAATTTATGACACAGTAAGTCATTAAATATTCTCACCTTAAAAATATCAGGCCTCTGAGCTAAGCCCATGAGAGAAAGATAGCCACCTACAAAAACATTATTTTTTATTTAATGCATCAAAGCATAAAATTAGCACAAATTAAAATAACTATATGTAATAAAAATCCAAAAATATAACAATCTTTTATTTATCATTAAGTAATCTATTCACTTTATTTACCTAATCATTATTTCACAGTTAGTATTATTTCAGCAATTATTTTACACATGCAGATTTTTCTGAGCACAAAAACAAATTAACATATTAATTAAAAATCATTTAATTAGCTTAGATTACTTAAATTTTGTACAATTCAAAATACCATACTTCAATTCTTGGTGTAAAGCAATAGTAGAAAACATTTCTGTCTGAGAAATTTCTTCATGTTTTAACATTACCTGTAACATCATATTGTTTTGAAATGGCCAGCTGCCGTAAGATAGCTTAGCCCAGATATAACCCAGAAAGCGGGTTTAGGATTGCCAGGAAGTGTCAAGGAAAGGTAGGGTTGCCAGATTTGGTCCGAAACCGCCCCATTTGATGACATGCCACAGACACAGTGAGAACATTCTAGAATGAATTCTTAATGGTTTTCCGGGAATGTTCTCGAAGACAGGTCAAAAGCTATATGAACCCTGCTTGTACATGCAGCAGGAGAGTCTTTAGAGCATGTTGAGTTCAGTAGCAGTGTCTCGACTTCAGAAATTAGCTTGAGAGCGATTGACCGATTTGGGAGCTGTATTTTAGTGCTTTGCCGTGACGCTGTCTTCAACATTGTAGCCTGAAGGCTGTGTTGCTGATTGTTTTAGCATACTTATACAGTCAAAAGTCGTTAATCTGGACTCGTCGGGACTTCGGCGATTCCGGATTATAGATCATTAGTTTAAATCTGGTAAGATGCATGCAGAAATAGTAAAATTAAAAATATGAAACCGTAATTTATGATCAAAAGGGTATCAAAATTTACAAAAAAAAAAGTTTAATATTTATTTGTTTACTTTATTAAACATTTCTTTCAATGTAAGTTGTTTAAGTTGCTTCGTTTTTTATGTGATAATACATTCTCTTTAATTCTATAAACAGACATAATTTCTTGTTCAGTTACAAAGTTCCGCTGTTCAAGTCCTATAATTGCTGTGTCGAGAATACCGACTAATTTGTCAATCGAAATTCTTTCGTTTTCGATTTGCTATCAGAAGCGAATTATAATGACGAGGAATTTGATTTAAATCATAGCAAAGACGGAGTACATCGAGATGAAATACTTCATTTAGTAAGGAATTATAAGCCAAATAAAATAAAAACATCTGCCGTGAAGATAAGGATAGTGCTGACAGATCAACTTCCAGTTCATTGCACGCCGCGACGTTCCCCCCCCCCACAAACACGCAGAGCAGCATGAAATTGATAAACAGATTTCGGAATGGTTAGATAAACAAATCCATTTTTACAGCAATTCCACTTTTTGTTTAATGGACTTCGAAACATACTTTTGATTTGTAGATCCTTTACATATTAGTAAATATATATCAGAAATTCTATTTGACATAATCGAAAGTTCAAGCTTACTTTTATAAAATTGCTCTAACAGTCTGCAAAAAATAATAAGCCGGATCCAATTCGAAGATTAAGGAAAAACGCAATCTGCAACATTAACTGAATTAGATAATTTTAGCTTAGCTTATACCGTCCGTTATACATTAAACGCACATTCGTAAACATATTTTGAGCATGCGCACACGCCTATTTGCAGCCGTGAAGGCATCAACGCGACGCATGAACAGAAAGTTTGTAGGTTTGAGGTCCAGATTATGGGTGTCCGAATTAACGACTTTTGACTGTAGTAGTTTTTGATGACTGCAAATGTGTCATTGAGACTCTCCTGCGTAATACTAGTGAATAAATTGTGTTTTGATTCTTCATTGTCATCAATCACTCCAAAGACATGAATCAATAGTATGCAACAATATCCTGGACTTTGACAAAATTCAGAATGATGCATACAGCCGTTTGAAGTAATCATTTCTGGGTTTATTTGTTTCATAACCACATACATACAACATTCATGATGACTCATATAGTTTTACAGACAAAAAGTGCATACATATGAGCAGTGAGCACCAGTTTTACTGCAGCCAGATGATTTATGAAGGTAGGCTGCCAACATATTACATTCCTTTTATAACTGTCCATCCGCATACAAGAGCTAATCACAAAATACGGTGAATGCTGCTGCTGAATGGTATCCAAAGGAAAGGCAAGGATTTTCAGTACTGGAAGCAGTACATCACACTTAACAATACTGAATGACAAATTCAACATAATTAATAAGTGACAAGTTGTTTGAGAGAAAATGAATCGCAGTTAAGTGAATCTATAGCAACTGATTTTATTTACGGATGGGATTGGGATTATTCAATTATGGCAAAGCACACGAGGGCTATCTGCCTAAGGGGAGGGATACCTTCGTGGAGGACTTTCTAAGGGAAATTGGCTCGTATACACGTTACATATGGGGGAAACCACGAAAACGCCCATGCAGCCAGCCCGTTCGTTCGCGGGGATTCGAACCTCGGACCGAACTACCAGTGTTCAGCGTCTTTACCGCTCGTCGCTGGTGGGTATATACGGATGTGAGCAGAGTAAATCTCTATGTCTATAAGTAATAAGGAAGCCATCTGAACATGTACAAACCTTATTAAGAAACTGATCGATTTGGGCACCTGTAAACGATCAAGTGAAAGAATCAAGGTATAAGGCATGGAACAGCCAAAAATGTCCCAACCTTATAAATTTGGATCCATGATCACGCTTATATTTGTGATGCATTATAATAACATATGTTAAAAGAAATTTTTGAAGATACAAAAACCATCAATTATGAATAGTGTTTCTAGTTTCTGTAGAAATTCCTGATAAAGTAGCCTCACAAACAGAAACATATTGTGTGACTGCTTTATGGCAACATTGGAATTACACATCTTTAAAAACTTCATGTTGAATTTTAGTTATATTTTCCATATTCAAGCTTCAGGTATTTTGTTTTTCATATCAGTTAAAAGAGGCTAATGGTAGGTACTGTATACTGATGTGCTGCGTGGTCTTAGATAAGGAAATTCAAAACAGGAACTAATACCTCCAATATCTAACTGTTCAAGACTTATTGAATTGCAGCCATAACTAAAATTATAATGATAAATATATTCCCATCCTTTCAGAACTTTCAGTCAAGTTTGATCTATATCAGCATTTCTCAAACTGTGAGTCACAACCCAAATTGGATTTACAAGGTGAAATGCTAGGATCGAAAAAATCAAATTTTGATACAAGAATTTAAAGAAACATTAATTGCAATCTTTTCATTACCAATTCATATATTACATTTTTTTATTTAGTGCACTTATAAAATTGTAATACCGGCCAAATTGAGCTGTAAATTATGTTTACACATTAAAAAATACCACTAAGTGCATCATAATAGTGATGTCGCATTGCAATTTCAGTACTAAAGCTATTTCAGAATCAAAGCATACCACAAACACACAACCTATGCTGCAAATGTGTACAAAGAATAAGGTCTGTCCCACTGTGACCAATGTAGTGTTAATGCTTTTCCAGTATAGTCAGTTTGTGTTTCATTACAAGTCGCTGTGATCAATATAGTGGTTTACCAATGCTGGCTTGCTGGTTACCATATCGACAGGCTAGGATTTAATTCCGGGGAAGGCATGGATATTTGTAAGCATACTGTGTTTATGTAACATGGGTGATTTAAAATACTGGTGAGCAAAAAGGCCTCTTGAGAGGTTTGGTGGTAGGAAAGGGGAGGTGGGAGACCTTTAGATCTTCCCCAGCACTGCTCTCCATCAAAACTGGGGTGGAGCTGACAATTAGTGCAGCAAAACTACACCTGTACAACCAATGCTGAATTTATGGTATTCTTCCAACCTGCACCTGTGTACATTGAAAGAACAATATAATATCGTATTTTAATGTTTTATTTAATTAAGATTGGTAATTATTTGAATAAGTAATGTAACAGAAATTATTTATATTTTACGATAAAAATATTTTTCACCCAGATTTATTTATGATAAATTTTTTTTTATTAACTTTAGTAATAAAGGCAGTGATGCAAATAGCAATGTTAGATAGTCATTTAAGGATCTAGTAATCGGGAAAGAGGCACCTAAGATGCAAAGAAGAGAATATGTCCAGTTTGGCATTACTTTCAATAGTTGTCGTGGTACTAAACTACGTCTTTGTTAGATTTTGCAATAACATTTTGGCTATGAAGAATATGAAGCCATCAAAATTAAAAATTCATTTTAAATCCAAGCATCTTCCACATGTCAATAAATGAAAAAAATATTTTGAATGACAGTTAAAATCTTCAAATAAAGAGAAACAATACTTTGAGAAATTTATACTGTTAATAAAAGATATTTATTTTTGTCATGCAAAGATTCATATCTGATTGCTAAAAGTAAAAAGCCATGCACCATTGCATCTTGCATTTCCTACTCCTAGGTAGAAATACATAGAAGTAAATGGTGATGAAATTCAGAAAATTCACTTGTCAAATGACACTCTCACTAACAGAATTTCTAATATTAACAAGGATTAGTTTCAGCAACTTATCACCAAGTTAAAGAATAATTATCACCACCTTATATTCAAGTTAAAGAAAGCCAAAAATTGACAATTCAGTCATACAAAAACAACTTATATTTAGCTCAGTGATTAGTATATATCAGATACATTTATTTATAAAGAAAAACATTGACGAAGAAGTGTTATTTTGTTGTCCTTTGGAAGAAAATACAATAATATATAGCAAAGTTATAAGATCATTAACTTAAAGATGTACATAGAATAGTAAAATGGACAGGTTTTTTTAACTATTTAAAGTGGAGAAATTGCATTAGAGTATACATAGATGATGAAATGCAATAACGTTGTGAAAATATTGGTTTTAAATTATTTGTTAAAGCATTAAAGTGACGATTACGCAACTTTTACATACTTGATCCATCAACAGACCTTTGCAGGCACAGGTAGAAGTGGAAGGGATACTAGAAATTCACTATTGGTAGTGCAGGTATAGTCCCACTGCATTAAATGTGCAATTCCAACCCAGTTTTGAAGGCTTTTGGCCTCTGAAGAGTTGGTCTTAGGGTTTCCCACATCTCTTTCCTTACCATAACTTATTAAGAGAGTTTTTGGTTCCCTGTGTATTGCTCCTTTTTCCCTGTGTGAATGCTCCTTTGCTGTACAGAAACTATTATGCTTACTAAATTTATGCTTTATTCAGGATTAGAACCTGAACCTATTGGTACGGCAGTCAGCATCACTAATCACTACACCAGCTGGGTAGCAGAGCGCTGTTGCAACAAAAAATATAAGCAACAAATTTGATTGTTATGCTTCAGGACCCTAAAAATTGTCAAAGCATGCCTTTAACAGCTATTTATTTTCAAATCTCTGTAAAGACATGGACTCTGAATAAAAAAAATGTATTATTACATGCAGAAGTAGGACGGATGTCAAGTAGTAGAAGTTTAATTGTTATTAAATTATGAAATTATTACATTTTTAACAAAATAAAGTCTGATATTTCTGCTCTTTATCCAAAATTATGAAGGAGACAATAGCGGCCGAGCAGTAATATCACTGAGCACTAGTTCGACCCAGGTTAAAATTTGGCTAATAGGCTGTCTGCATGGAGTTTTTTCATGATTTTTTACCATGTAGAACGTGGATAAGACCAATTTCCTCTAGAAAGTTCTCTACAGAGGCATCCCTCCCCTCAGAGAGATAGCCCTTTGTTTTGTCATTATCAAACAAACTAAATTAAACATCAGTTAAGATTATCAAAGCTGTGCTATTTATCAGATATTTTTGAGGAACTAAATCATCTCAACTCGTCACTTCAAGGAAAAAAAAATGTTTTATTAAAAAGCTCAATGTTTCGTAGAAAGGGTAGAGAATTATTAACTTGAAATGTTTTCAAATACTGGCAATTTAATATCATGAAAAATAAAGATACAACTTGAAAAATTATTACACACTGTTAACTACACAGTGTGTAATAATCACTCGGAAGTGTAAAATATTACACAATGATTTAATTTGTTGTGATACAAATAAAGAGCACACCAGTCTCTTTAAAATGTGATTTTTGATATAAAAAGGTATATTGGAATCACAAATAGATTTTGACTGACTTTAGACAGATTAATCCATATACCGGTTAACAGTGAAAATGTTGAAGATGCTGTACACTCAACAGTGTGAAATATTACACTAAGATTTAATTTTTTGTACTGCAAATAACAAGCACACCAGTCGCTTTAAAATGTGATTTTGTTTCATTAATTTTTATATATCTGAAACAAATCTAAAACTACTTCTTTTCGTACATATATTATTTATCAAAGAAAAATTATTTATCGAAAAATATTAATTTTCATATCTTTATTTTATATTTAGTATTATGGGGTTAAAAAATCTTGATGATAAAAAGTGGACATGATTGAAAAAAAAATTTAGTACTGAACTAGATGATGTGATATTTTACATGTAATTCAATTATTACAGCTTAAGAACTAAAAAGACATCAATTAAATAAAATACTATTAAAATTCATATCATACTTCATTAACGATCGATATAAAAGAAAAGCAGACATCGCACACTGATTAAAAAATATTAGTGGAAATTTTGAATAATTTTAAAATAGCATTGTACCATATGACCATCCATGCACAGCAATTCTCCCAATATCTATGAATCCAGTGCTTTCAGAAAGCCACAATAAAACTTCAACTTGATCAGCTATTTCAACTGTTCCCTGTAAAGTAACAAAAATTTGATTATTTTGCATTAAAGAGATATGCCCACCCCCGAAGAATTAAAGCACTGATAAAGTACAGTAAATTAAAATAGTTATCATTTAATCAAATTTCCATCAACTATCAACTGTAATTTAACACTTTATGTGCCGCTGTCACGCTGGCGTTACTTTTGCTCGCCAACAGTTATCAGCCGCTGTCACGTACGCGTGACCTATTTTCGCCAACGACGATGCTTCACATCGACGTTTGTATAGATAGACATACTATAGCAAAACATTTGATGATCAGGAAACATTGGTTTCAACTGTTTTCCTCTCCGAATTCACCAGACTGTCTATTATTGAAATCTTTTTTCGTGGACGTTTGTTTTGTTAGTTTGAGACTGTCTTTCGCTGCCTTCAAATATTGGAAACTTATGTTAGATTTAAAGATATCCTTCAAAATGCTCTTCGATGAGGAAATATATGCTGATCTGTTATCAGAAGAGGATAATTGCTATGATAGTGAAAGTGATTCGGTCAGTGGGAGCGATATAATTGTGAGATGATTCAAAAATAAGGGAAAACCAATAATTAGTGAATCTGAAAGTGATGAAGAGAATTCTGTGGCAAATCATTGATCAGAAGTTGATTTTAAACCTAACTTTCATGCTTGCTGGAACGGTTTGGGTTACAGGTACCATACACGCCAGATATATTATCAACTGTGGAATTGTTCATTGGGGACGATTTATTTAATTTGTTTGCCACACAAACAAACTTATATCATAATCAGCAGAATAATGATAACAACAATGCATCAACAAAGAATAAAGCTTGGATTGATACAAATGCTGTAGAAATGAAAAAACTTTTGGGACTTGTTATCCTAATAGGAATAGTAAGAAAACCAGAACAAGACGATTATTGGTCTACTTACCAAGGATTATATACACCTATTTTTGGGAATACTATGCCAAGGAACCGATTTCGGCAGTTATGGAAGTATTGGCACTTTAGTAATAATGAGCATTGCCAAGAAAGACTTGATAAAATAAAACCAGTTTACTCGTACCTGGTAGAGAAGTTTCAAACCATTTATAAATCCGAGAAAGAATTATCGCTGGATGAAGGTATCATTCCATGGAGGGGCAGGCTATCTTTTCGTACATATAATCCTGCGAAAATTATAAAATATGGAATTTTAGTCCATATGGTGTGTGAGGTGACATCTGGTTACATATGCAATTTAGAAATATATTGTGCGCAAGGATAATCGCTAATTGCGAGAATATTGTCCGTGCTATCGCCATATTTAAATTTATGGCCCGATGTATATATGGACAACTATTACAATAGTGTAAAGGTTGCAGAGGAGTTACTAAAGCATAAAACAAACATCTGTGGCACAATTAGAGTAAACAGAGGAGTGCCAAATTGTTTAAAATCTGCTATATTAAAAAATAAGTCAATGGAATTTCATAGAAAAGGGAAAATTATGGTACAAAAATGGAATTCGGCCAAAAAATTGATACTGATGATTCCTACGATACATTCAGCAGACATGGTCGAATGTGTGAGTAAAAGAACCAAAAAGAAGTGCATTAAACCAATTTGCATACAAGAGTATAATAAATTTATGAAAGGTGTTGATCACGCCAATCAATACCTATCATGTTATTCCATACTTCGCAAAACAAAAAAATGGACAAAAAAAAAAGGTTTTATATCTCATAAACTGTGCATTACTCAACGCATTCCAGATATACATAAAAAATTCTGAAAATCTATTAGATTCAAACAATTTTTACTAAACCTTGCACTAGCTTGGATTAATGGGAATGAAGAGGAGCAACAATCAAGATCGGCTGCTCAATGTGATAAAAGATCGCCGAGATTTGATCCACCAGGCAGACTTACTACGGATATGAAAAAACATAGAATAACACGTATTAATGGTAATGGGAGAATTCAAAACCCACAAAGGGCCTGTAAAGTCTGCACTGCCGCCTAGAAAAGAAGTTCCACTGCATACATGTGTTCTTCCTGCAACGTTTCTCAGCATGTTGGAAAATGTTTTCAGAATTATCATACTAAAATGAACTATGGATCCAAGGAGTTAAATTTTTTAAATAAAACGTTTTAGTACTAATTAAAAAATATAATTGGAATAAAATTACTGTAACAGTTATTTTAGTGCTTTCTTTAATAATAATTATATACCAACGAAAAATTGCATAAATATCACTGTTGGTGAGCAGTAGAACCTGCGTGAACTGGCGGCAGCGTAACGCTGCTTCGATAAATGCGCGGCCCGCAAAGTGTTAACAGTAACATTAACACTTGAATAATACACCTTTATCCTTGCAGAAGCTTTGAAATCACATTTACATCAAAGAACCCTTGTGTAACTTTTGATTTGATAAGCAGTACTGATTATTTTACTCACTGCAATTTGCATTGGAAATCCTAACAATTTCTTCTAGAACACTACAGTTTTGAAAAACCTCACTCAAGAAACACTGCATTACAGTGATTGATAATTAATTTAAATTTATTTATGCAGAGAAGGCACATGCAATCATTTAATTAGTTCATATTTCTGAGGAAAATATTCATATTTCAAAAGACATACAGAAGAGTTTCCCTAAACATAACGACTTCTATTTAAAATTGCTACCACATAAAAGCCAAATTATACTTTTAAAGTTGAAATTGATATGTATATTTAGAGTGATTAATGCTTTAATATGTTTCAAAAGTTAAAATATAAATAAATAAAAGTAATTCATAGACAGAAATCAGAGGTTTAACATGGAAAAAGGAAATCTCATACAGTAAATATCAAAAACTAATATCTGAATGGAAATTTAATCTGAGTAACTGCTTTCAATGAAATATTTTATGGAATAAATATTGCAAATGAAACATTTTCAATGAATGCACCACAGCACTTAAGATTCGTGGTCTTTTAAATAACAGGGTTCATTCACATTTCTACTCATGCAAATTAAGTACTTTTAAGAACCATTAATGAAAAGAATTAAGGCCTGCAAATATCAGCAAATAGGAACTGAATAAATTCAGTTAATTAAAGATATCTATACCTGAACTTCATTTCTGTAATACCATCCTAAGAATAAAATAGATCCGTAAATAGGACACATTATTATTAAACATAATTTAATAAACATAATTATAAAACAAATTTTAGAATAAAATCAACTTTATCAAATTATAATAATTGGACATATTTGAAAGGAGATTAGTTGTATTTTTATTTACATTTTACTAACTGTTAGCTTTATGTCCATTTTTTCTATTATGTCTCATTTTGTCACTTAGTTGCTCAGTCTACAGGTTTAGTAATAGCAGGTAGATTTTATGTCAAATGCCACAAGTTAAAATGAGAAGTAAAATCATGCTGATACCACTGCTGCTTCTTGCCTAGAGAGAGATCTGCTGATCAGAACAAAGCTGAAAGCCTCATGTACGCATGGTTGGCAAGTTAGTTCTTCATGTAGCTTCGTGTAGAGTTCCTGGGGTTTAACCCAGTTAATATACTTTAAGGTTCCAGTAAGCCACTAAAGCACCAGATGTGATAAGCTGCTTTGTATTATTTTAAGTCTCACTAAATGCAAAGTTTTTTTACATTAATTTTTACACTTTTGTGCTGTCTCTTCCGACCATGATAAGGATTAATGAAAGGCAATAACTCCCTTTTAATATGCAGAGATCACTCTTAAGAATGAGCAGTTAGTTACAAATTAAAGTAAGCAGTTAGATACCCTTAGTTATTATAGATTTACATAGCCACTATTAAATTATATTTATTTTAAAACATATTTGTTAAAAAAGCCATATTAGAATACACATAATTTATGACATTCATTCTTAAACGATATTAGGATAATTACACATTAAAAGCTACAAAACATTTATGTTCTGTAGCAACAACACTCAACAAAATATTTATGCACTTTTTTAATTTCAAACCTTCCCAGACATTTTGGCTAATTTATATAAATTTCCTTCTCTTTAAGCATTTTTTCTAACAATTAGACATTTGTTTCACTGCATAAACCAATGTTTCCACTAGTTTCTGCAGGGGTGTTTGTGGGACCCCAAAAAATCCCCTGAAACTTTTACGGACTTACTACCGACATTTTGGAGTTTCGAGAAGGGGGGGGGGGAGAAATGAAAAATTACAATTATGAAGTATTGAATGACCTAATTATAAAAGTTCAATGAATTAATTTTTTTGCAAAATTAATAACCATAAATTTTCAAACATATAAACTACTACATTTTATGTAAATATTTTATTATTATTTAAAAATTATTTAAAAAAAGTTATCTAATTTCTGCTGCTTTTTTTTAAATTTTCTGATGTTTGTGGGCTTGTCTTTCTTTTGTGGTGAACTTCATAATTGCAGGAAGGTTGACTTTTATTTTCCTCATTTACAGTTGAAGAAATTTCCTCGAGAACTGCACATGCAGAGGTAGAAGCAGTTTGCTTTTCTGCTAATGTAGAAGGTTTTTCAGAGACTTTTATAGGTGACTCATCTGAAATACATGTTTTTAAGTCCTCTTGATATGTTTTCCAACTTCTGTTCATATTCAGTAAGAGATCTTTGTGAATTGGATCAGTCATTGGATTTTTTGAGCCATATTTTTCACATGAGGTTTCTTTAGAAGCCATTAAATCATATTTAATAGTCTGCACTGCATCTAGGGAATCAATCTTAAGAGAGGTTCTATAGTCAGTGACAAGTGTATCCATTAAGTTGAATGCACTTTCCACTAATGGGCCATGGAAGCAGCTAAGGCAGGCTTTGACCAATTTAGCCAATGTAGGATACTTATAATCATTTGTGAAATCATCTTTTAAATTAAAAACTTTAGACCAATATTTATCAATTGTACACTTGACTTGATTTCCACTTTCATCAGATGTGTAGAGCATTTCTTTGGTGATATCAATATCACTCTGGTATAACCTTATTTCAGCTTCTACT